AAAATTGTAAACATACCCATAAATAGTTAATGAAAATGAGAGTCATTTCAATTTGAGTAGCATCATTCGATAATAGATTAGTAATTTCACCTGAACTAATACTATTAAATGCATGACTCGACAAACGAAGAAGCTAATAATTTAAATTTAAAAACAAATTAATCGATTATTTCTTACATATTGATACTTGCTTTTCGAAAGATTAGACCACTATAAGCAACACGCATTTGTAAAGCCAAATTACTAATTAAGTAAATTCCCTAGATGAATACAATGATAATGTTCACGAAAAAAAAAGACAACAAGACTTACATAATTAACAATAACACTAGAGCAAAATGCTATAAAAATTGTACTCATAGTTAGAAGCCAAGCATGCCAAGCTGGCATTGTAGAACATGGCTCAAAGAATCTCATCAGAAATGTAAGTAAGAGTGGTTGAATAATGTCGAAAAATTCCTATCAAATATGAATTATGAAATGAAAATGATTGATTAGAATATTAGATCCTACAGAAGGAATAAAAATGAGACCAAGGAGAAATGGTTTCCATCTCATAGTGCGTAATGTAGCTCGAATTAGACTCGGTTTATTAGAATTTCGTTTAATTTCAGCAAACCAATTGGCTTCAAGTTTATCTGTTAGTGCTGCTGCTTCCCAATCAGGAAGAGGTTCATAGAGATCGTTAACATCAAGTGTTCCTTGTTTACGACATTTTGAAACCAACGGAGATACCCATCTACGGATAGATTAATATTCTGAAATTGTTCAGACAAACAATAAAGTTACTTACTGATGGAATAGACGTGAACACTTACTAGCATTCAACAATGGATTTGGATTTGGTGGCCTTATCGGCATCTGAAATTAAATATATTTTTTTTCTTTGGATCATCAATTCTATGACCTTGCTTTCTTTTTTTTGTCTCTTATCAGCTTGGAGAAAATGATTGTACTGGAAGAGAAAAAAAAACCAATAACAGAATGCAGCATTAGTCAATAAAGTGTGCTTTTTTTATATAGAAAAAAATCACGTATCCCTGGTGCTTGCTATTACTAAATATCTATATGTTATTGCGAAATACCTTGCGCAAGTTTAGGATCGATGATGAAAAGCTTCGCACGTACTTTAGTACTTCTCCTAAGTAGTTTGATTCAATATAATGTAGATAATACAATGAGTAGATATGATGTAAGACTTCTTTCGAAAAATACTGTTCGATAAGTTCATAAATCTAGCACCATTATATTTGAATTATCATTCGACCTAATTTCACGCGCTAAACATCCGAACTAAATAATTGAAAAGATTTTCAATAATTAAATTCAAATTTTCAGCTTTGACACAGATATCAAAGATGTGCAATGTACCGTAAAAAATGAAGTGGGGCAGCGCGAAGGATGGCGGCAATTCCAAAATAGCTGCGGTAGCAATCACTGGTATAAAGTCATTTTAGTCAGCAAAGCGATGGCTAGGCAATTCGGTATTTGTAGAAATTTTTTTCGTCAATTTTTCTCATATTGGTGGCGCTATGATATTACTCAAAAAACTAGTGTTGGTTCGTTTCAACCATAACCTGCTTTCTAATTAAATTTACATAAAATCTAAATTTCAGGCAAATTTGAATATAATGCTCGTCATAGTAATATTAACTGAGATTTGAATTAGTTTTTAATCAAGATTCTTGTCGGCTTAATTTATCAATTAAACTAATGACCATCAAAATCAGGTAATAAAACTAATGATATCTCACAAAGAAGGAATCTTTCGCTCATAAGATTCCTTCTCTTAACTTTCAACATTTGATTTATATTTCTTTTTTAAAAAACTCTCAGCAATAGAGCGTTATAACTGGTATGAGAAAGGCGTGAATGGTACACATTTTGGACATCTTCGACATCATATTAATCAACAACAATCGAATCATATGATGAAATCCAGCAAGGAAATTTGTCAATAATAAAATAAATGAAAACATTGAATACAAATTATGTCAAGATAAGAAAATAAATGAACAATAGAAATTTGCAATAACTGCGTATTTGCAAGTATAAAATATTATTGAATAAATAGACTATTGAAAAAAATATATTTTATAAAAAAAAACGATAATCCAATCATATATACATAACTCAAACAAAAAAAGTCAGTTAGCGAAATAATGACATCTAATTCCTATATCTTCTTCTTTCAATAGATATTTCGATCTGTCATAATATCTTACTTACACATATAATAATTAATTTACAATTAATCTCGTTCTATATCGACTAAGTTCTCAAATTCTTAATACATAAAACTATTTGATAGTTTGTTTCGATTAATAAATAATCGAAACGTATTTTGTCAAAATAATATTCAATCAACAAGCATCCTCATTAAATTTCCGAATAACTTTTGATAGAAACAAGATAGAGTGTTGCAATTTTCACCATTGAAAAGAGGAGATGAAGTTGCATCTAGATTCTCCTAAAATATTTTTCGAAGCTTCTTTAACCAAATTTGCAAAAAAAAGAGTCAGAAAAATGGTTTCTTTTAGCATAAGAAGAAAACAAAAACGTGATATATTTTTTTCACAACAATTACTTGAAAAATCGGCTAAGAATTTCGACCAGAATACCTATGACTGCTGAATAACTAGATATAAAAATATGAGGCTTTTGTAGTTTTGTACATCTTTCATAGACAGTTCGGATGCACATCTGATAAATTGCAAATTCACTATAGTCATCTAACAGAGTACGTTGATTTTCCCAAAGGTGGATTCAAAATCTTTAAAAAAACTTCTAATATACAATTCGATACATTCTATTGATATGTATTCTGTCTGCCTTTTTCTTTTAACATTAATCTGTCTCCAAGTATTTATTAGCCTTCAATACATTTGTTATGTTTCTCACCAATAATTGACAATGTTAAAAATTATCAAAATGTATTTTATGATTGAAGACAAAAACCAATCGAAAAAGATAATCTATTTTATAGTTTTTCATTCAATATACAAGGTCAAAAATATTCTTACAAGAAAATATTTGAAAACCCAAAATCCAGGTTCATTGTTTTGTTCGTTTATTCTATTCTATGACAATCGATGTATGTTGTCTATCAATTTATTAATATTAAGCAGACACAGAGTGTTGTCTACCCTTTGATATATTCGTATAAAAAAAAAAAAGATTACAAACATGAAGTTCATACTACACATTATTTTTCTAATCAATGAATTTCTTTGAAATTTTTTCATATTTATTTATGTTATTATGTAGTTTATTGGGTATTAGTTGTGCACTTATTTTCATTAGTGTACTGATTATTTATCGTCAATGTCGTACAATGACTATTTTCCTTGTATTTAATTCTATAATAGCTGGTTTTATTGTTAATGTAGTCTGTTTTTGTCAAGTGATGTATCAATTAACTAGTGATGGAAATGATAAACTATGTGTATTGCGTGGTTTTCTTGTAGAAAGTGGATGTGGTCTTCTATATCATACATTTTGTGTTCAAGCATTTTATCATCTTTTTTCTACAATACCTAAACTACGAGAATATCTTCAATCGAAATGTTCTATTATATTTATTGTATTATTACAATGGTTAATTTCATTAACTTTTGGTCTTCCAATTCTTATTGGTAACCGAATTAAATTTCAAATGGATTATCGTATTTGTCAAGTAGATAGATTTAAAAGATTTGTTTGGAATTTTTTTTTTCATTTTTAGGTATCAATGCATGATCTATATGGTTTTCTTTATTTTTTAATATGGATTTATATTTTTCCATTAATAATAATTATAGGAATTTATATTCGAGTTTTAATATATATCAAACAAAATCCATATTGTTTAGTTATTCATCAAAATATATTTCAACGACAAATACGAAAACGTAAATTTCATATTTTTCGTCATATTATTATGCTTATTATAACTCTTATTATTATGCGTTTTCCTAATTTTGTTTTCTTTCTTATTATTCAATTTAATTATGTAACAATATCTCTTTATATAGAACGAATTTGTCTCATGTTTATTTCATTCGGTCAAACTATTACAATGTTACTTTGCTTGATTGATAATTATCAGATTCGAAAGTGTTTGAAAAATTCAATTAGAAAAGTGAAACAACGCAGAAGACAATAATAAAAATAACCATACTTTTGTATTCTATCTATTGATTCACAAAGAAAAATATTATATTTATTAAAAGAATCTAAAAAGAAAATATTGATATTTTAATTCTACTGAATTTTCTTTTATAGAGAAATAATGATAAAACAATAGATTAAAAAGAAAATGAAGACAGAAAGTATTACGTATTTTCTGCTGCAAAGAACATTAAATGTATCATATTTACTCGATGAATTCAGATACTATCAGAAGAAAAGTTTATTATATTCATTCATTACGAAACAAATAGAAATCACGACAATTTTTCTATGTAATAATATCCTTTACTTACAATTACTTCTGATTCATCATTGTCAATCGTTTTGTATGTGATTATTTTCATATATATATTATGAATACTCAATGCTGAACCTATAGATCATACTTATTATTATTCTTTTATTCTTATTTGTATTAACTGTTAATGATAGAATATGAAACTTAGAAAAAATGAACATCTATTTTTATGAGCAACAGACACACATAGTATGTACTACAACAGTCGTAGACTTTACGAGGAACACACTGATCTTGAGTGGAATACCGTCACGTCTTATCAAATATTCACAGACATCTTTTCAATTATGTATATCAAAATCATGACGATAAAGTGGGTGTGTTTTTTTTCTTTCAAAATAAATCATAGAAGAAAGTTTATATTATTTAATACTGCTATAAACTAATACATTAGATGACAGAAATCTAATTGATAAAGTGCTATTGAAAGGTGATACTTTATTTAGTAAAGTAAAGTAAAATATAGAAGAGAAAAGTTACCGAGTAATAGGTAACGAAAAATTCATTACTCTAATTTCTCGATAGATAAATGATATTTCCAAGGGAAATAATAAATTTGTATAAAGTTTTACTAAAAGTAAGGGAAGTCGAGAAATCTGAATCTGTAATTGATTTCTTTTTATAGAAATTGATTATTTCTACGAAATATTCTTCCCCTATCAAGATATTATGGTGATAAACTTCCAGCCACTTACTCGGTTACGTAACGGTAACTACCTTCTCTTATACTTATCTAGCTTATTGAATATTATTCAAATAGTTCTGTGGATGAATCGAGCTATATACTGCCTAGACACAATATTCCTTCCTCAATTTTACCTTGTTTTATTTTCCGCTATTCTAAATAAATATATAATTTTGAATAGATTTTTATATATCGGATCATTATCACAGTATAATGATAAATTACAGTGCAGACTAATTGAATTTTTTCCCTTTGGTTTTGTTACTTTAATTTCTTTATTTTTAAACATACAATATATATATAGGAAGAAAGTACCGAGCGAGTTGCGTCTTATGGTATATTTAGCTTGAACAACAAATAAAATTTGAAAGATAAAAAGTTAATTAGAAATAAAAAATAATGTTGCTGTTTTTTTTACAATGTATAGCGTAAGTTAAGTGAATTTTGTTTACTTATTGCTTTTATGTCAACACACGTAGATTTGATGAATTCTAATAGTCTATACCTCATGTTTATGTAACATCCTACCTATAAATACATTCAAATTAATAGGCAAAGGACAAGCAATTTGTACTGATGAAACACATCGCAACTGATCGAAGAATAAACCCACAAAAGTGTATCGACAATATCTATTTGGTTTGTGACAAGAGTCGTGCTCATAATCAAGCAAAGACGATGCATGCTTTACGAGAAGGTAAATGTAAATCGATTGTGAAAATTCGTTATACGTCAACAGCATCTACAAAGTATTTATCACTATTGGATAATCCACTTTGGCATTCATTTAAATAAAAAAAAATTCAAAATCAATATCTATTAATTGCAACAGATATATCTTTACTATTACCGCAAATGTATATCGAAAATTTGATATTACATATGGAATTGATGACGGGTCTAAAGATTTTTTATGTAGATTTCTATTATATCTAGATCGTGATGTATATTTTAGAAAAAAAAACAACACTATTTTGTTTTTCTAATTAACTTTTTATCTTTCAAACTTTATTTGTTGTTCAAGCTGAATATACCATAAGATGTAGCTCGTTCGATACTTTCTTCCTATATATAGTATGTTTAAAAATAAAGGGAGAAAATTCAATATCCCTGCACTGTATTTAAGGGCTCCATCTCAGAATTGATTTACCACTTAGAACCGATCGTTTGGGCTGAAATTTACAGGTGTAACAGATGGAGATAGCTAACAACATTTGTCATGCTGGTTAATATAAAAATATTCTGTGCAATATTAATACAAGTGGCAATATAGTTATCCAAAAACAAAAAAACTTTAAAAAAAAATTCTCTGACAATATGATAGTAGAGTCGAATCTTCCTGTAATGAATTTGTAAAATTCTGATCGTTTTGCGAAAAGTTGTATATATTCTGAAAGAGAAAGTTTCGGTATTCAAGAAAAATTAAGTTTTCTGAGACGGTTCCTTAATCAACAATAAACTTAACTACAGTATTTAACTTTACTTTTAAAGATATTTTAACAAACCAGCAATATTCTAGACATTGATAGAAAAAGAAAAAGTCAATAACGTTCATGTCATAAATGAACGTGTACCGACATATATCGATTTCTAGACAATATGTTCTTTAGCAAGTGAATTCTTTATATGAAAAGCTATGTTTGTAAGATACTTACCAAAGATGAGATTGAGTAAGAAATTTTTCAAAAATTCTAAAACAGTGCACGTATGAGTTACAATTAAGTGCAATTATTATGAACTAGCAAACCTTAGAAAACATAGTTGTTATATATTCAAAAGATAATATATGGACTGATCTTGTAACAACATATCATCTGTTCTAAAGAAAATGAAAATTTCAATGATTATCTCAATGGATACTTTTATAGTTTTCAATTATAATTAATTGATACAAATATATTTAGTTTTAAATAATTTTTATTAGAAAAAATATTTTTTTTTATATCGAATTCTATATATACTAAACAGATTTCGATGTATATATAAAATTTTTCACTGTATTAATTTTTTTTTTCTATTCAATTATAATCACTCGTTCTTCAATAAAATTTCTTCCATTATCATTATCATCATTTAATCTTAAATCTTGTCGAAGATTTTTTGTTGGTTGTGATTGATGAATAAATTCTTTTAAAGTTCTTTCTGTACATTTTGCTATAAAACGTATTAATGGACGTACATCACCATCATTAGCTTGATCTAAATATGAATAATAAATAAAACGTTCAGATTTTTGAATAATTATTGGTGGAAAACCAAATTTCATTAATATTAAATTCATTAATAAACGTCCTGTTCGACCATTTCCATCAATAAATGGATGAATATAAACAAATTTATAATGTGCTATTGCAGCTAATTCAATAGCATGAAGATCACGTGTATCTTCTAATGAATTAAGCCATTTAAGAAAATCATCAAGATATTCAGATACTTCATTAGCTGTTGGTGGAATAAATGAACCAACATAAACTTGTTCTTTACGTAATTGACCAGCTTCAATAGGATCAACAAAACCTAAAACTCGACGATGAATTTCAAGTATATCTTCAAGTGTTATTGAACCAAGACGATTAACTAATGTACAATTAACATATTGTAAAGCTAAATCAAGACCAAGAACTTCTTGTTGTTCAATAAGTGATTTTCCACCAATAGCCAAACGTGTTTCAATAATATATTGTGTTTCACGAAGATTTAATGTATTACCTTCAATACCATTTGAATGATATATATGTAAATAATAAGCATCACGTTTTGCTCGTCTTAAATAAGGATTTGTATCGGGTATTCGATAGAATTCTTTAAGAATATTATCAATAAAATTAAAATATTTTTGATCAATTTCTTCAACTAATGGTAATGTACGTTTTATAAATTCTAATGCACGTATATTAGTTGGTTGTTTAATAAGTGCACGTGTATAGAAATGTTCAGCACTTATTAAATCTTTATGATGATGTTCAAGAAATTGTCCATATTCAACAAGAATATCAGAATTATATGGATCAAGATTTAATGCATGTTCAAAAACTTTTCGTGCTTTTTTAAATTTATTTGATGTTATTAAATTCAAAGCTGAATGAAGAGCTGTTTCAGCTTCTTGACGAAGATCTAAGAAACAAAGAAAACATTATTGAATATATTAGTCAATAGTTAAAAGTTTTCAACTAATCATAAGGTAGACTTTAGTATCAAAGACTAAAATGCCTATAACTCTGGTCTAGACATCGTGACTTACGATTATCACGGTCATGACCATACCCGTGACTAACTTTGAAACATATTTCGTGACCGTAGTTTGACCTTGGTCACAATAATTTTTTAATCTGAGCATCTTACGATTAGTCTTTAATTTCATCAAAGATTTAAACTTAGACATATTTTCAGCGAGTGTTCTACATTTCGAAACTGATATCATCTTCGAAAGGTAGAACACCAGGTGAACCTTCGCGTTCAGTACTTCCTTATTCCATATGAGTGATATACTATGAAGTGCTTAGTAACAGTTTATGAATGAAAAATAACAGAATGTTGGTTATTTTTATGAAAATCAATGGCACTAAAGCGAACCTGAACCTGATATATATTGTTCTAATCCCGTATTTCGTTATCACATCCAGCAGTCATTATCTGGTTATTGCTACTAATAGAAACACTATTTAGTCAACACTATGTCTGCATAATTTATATGTATATAAGCGACCGAAAAAGACTTCACGATTACAATCATTAGAATTTTCGTGATTAAAAAACATTGATTACACCGATGTCTACTCTGGACTAAAGGCCTAATAGAACTTATTCTTTTGAGATTTTTCGTATTTCGCTAGAGTCTATCTTGTGCATAGAGTCGAAATTCATAAACAATTGACAACGTTCCCTCGTTAGTTTTGTGAAATTTTGAAAAGAAACAAATTTTTAGCAATATCATGACCGTTTTATTTGAAAAAAATAGTATCCTAGCTCTTAAAGGCTTCCGAAAAATCTTAGACCCAAAAAATGGATCAAAATTGTCACAACTCGGCTTATAAATATGAAAAGTTCTTTCATCAGTCGATCGACTTACACCTCTAATCATCCGCTCTCTTTATATAGACTACATTGATCTCATCTCCTTTCCGGTGATCTATAAATAGATTCTCTAATTACTCGCAAACAATTTTTTTACAATCGTTTGACTCGAAATTGAATAAATTTTACCATTAGAAATATTTTTTTGTTGTGAATGATCTTTTGTATATGTTCGTTTTTTTTCTACTAATTCTCGTTCTTGATATTGAGTTTGTAAATCATGATGTTGTTGTGATGAATAATATAAAGATATGATATCTGATGGAAGATATATATGACTTGTTGTAAGTAAACTAAATGGTGATGATGATGATGATGATGAGATGGGCAGTGGAGATGTTTTAAAAATCAAAATAGGTATTAGTATATTAATTACAATCGTTGTAAATAATGAGAGAAGAAGAAAAAAAAACATTTTCATTAGTGATTGACGAAGTTCGATTGATGAACATCGTTCCATAACAGAATGAAGAAAATGACGTATAAATAGAGAATAAATTATTGGCATTGAAGATAGATAATTTTGACTTATACATTGTATAAAGCGTCCAAAAGGCGCGAGATCATAAATTTATGCAAAAAATCATTTTTATGCAAATCATATACATTATTCACAATTATAAACCATCAAAATGATCGATTGAACCGATGACGAGCAAGTTAAAGAATGGTGCAAACAGTCAATCAATAAGAAAACAGACATTATAGATGGCGTTAGATGACTATTCTGATAGATAACAAATCTCTGACGAATTTGCAAGAAATTTGTTTTTAATATTAAGTACCTCAAGCAAAAACAAAGTATCAAATATACTTACAATTTTAGAAAAGTGCCGTGTTTTTTACTTTGCAGAAAAAACACAGAGTACCTTAAGAGGGCACTAGATTTATTTATTAAGCCATTATTTAAAAGTTGTTCCTTTTTTTTTTTGTGTTTTACTTGTAGATGGCGCTAAGAGCTTTTTTTTTAGATTTCGATTTTTGCTTGCTATACATATCTTCTTCAGTCATTTTTGTTAAATAATTAGTTCTTATTGAATATACATATTAATCAATACTAAAGTTCGATAAGAATATTTTGGAAATCTTTCATTTCATGAAAAAAAGCTTTCGATGATTAGCTTCTAACAACTAATAATTGTCTCATCCAATCCAAAAAACTAAACCTATTAAATGCACAAATTGTTGTGGAAAATCTATTGCTAAAGATGATTTAAGAGGGAATACATACTATTCAATATTGTCATCAAAATGAATATTAAGATGGAATAGAATATAATTATTCCCAATGATTATACAATAGTTATCTTATTCAATTTAGGAATTTCAATTAAATCAATTTCATGGTTTTGCAAAGACCATGTCGACATGCATGAAGAAGCACAATAACAATGATATTTATTTTATCCTTTTTTTTTTCATTGGTTGCACACATATAATAGTAAAACTTAATTCAGATCTATCTCGATTAATAATTCTTATGTAAAAATTTGTAATTTTTATTTGTATACTAGACAAAAACGAAAAAAAAACTCAGTCCATCTACTTTATTAAAGAACAAGAAAAAAAAAAGAAGACTCAAGTTAATTTATTTTGTTCAGTCGAATGTCAAAATAAATAGAGACAATTAAACTCCAGTGTAGAGTGAAAGAAAATAAATGTAAAGTAAAAATATTGGATAAAGAAGAAGTGTTTTTTTTTGTTGAAGTTCTTCAACACATAATAATGTTGCTGCTGAATATGTTGACCATACAACACCCATTAACTAGAATTATATTACAGAATATACAAAACAAAATAAAAAATAAAATTTTACTTTTATAAATAGAGCCAAATAATGTGCATTTTTTACTATAGGACTTATAAAAGCAACCAGGAGTAAAGGAAGAAGTGAATAACCAATTGTACCAACAATTTGAGAATACGATACCTATATAAAAATCCAATGGATTATAATAATTGGTTCATTAAAAATAAGATCTTGATTTTTCACAATTTTCGAAAAAACTAATTCAAAGAACAATTTTTCAAGTAAAATTTAAAAAAAGCGATGCAAAAGACTTTTTCTGACAATTCTATGTGTTCAGAATTAAATTCTGCATTCAATAATATCGTTCATAGAGTACGTTAACTTGTAAAAATACAAGTTTCAAAATCATTCGCACCTAGACGATATTATTAGAAGTTTTATGAGCATAAAATTCTCTATCTATTGATGACTACAAGCTTGTATAAATCGTTAGATATTTGCAAAAGATTGTAGTTGGGTAGTGAAGCAAAGAACAATGTTTGTGTTCTTCAAAAATAGAAAATCAAATTATCCTAGTATTTATGGACCATTCGTTATTAAACTTATTGAAAAATTTGATTAACCTCTCCACCAAGAACACGAGCCAAAATGAAGATTCCAAGTGAACCAAAGATCCAAATTGTTATAATCCATGAAACAACCTTTAAATAATTTTACAATATAGATTATAATTCAAAAGATAATACGTACACGGAATTGACCATAAACTGAGAGTAAAGCAAAACAGAGAACAACAAGTAACTAAGAAAAAAAAAAAAAAAAATTTATAAGATATATAATTATTATCAATAATATATTTTTCTTACTGGTCCCCAAAAATCTGGATTATCACGTAAAAGTGCTACTCGTTGTAATGTTCGACTTGGAATTGGTAAAATAACACAACGTAATTTAGCCACAATTTCAACAAGATTAATATCTAATTCTTCTCTAGAAAAATTTTCATCTAGATAAAATTTTTATTTTTTTTTTATTACATACAAAAGTGGTCGATTTTCATCGGCATTTGAATCATCATCATCATTTGTTGTATCAAGTAACCATCCATAACCTTGTTTATCTAAAGTACCACCAAGCCAACCACGATGACGTATTTGATTGTCAAATTCTGTTTTGCCTTGAAAGAGAAAAAAAAACAAACAAGAATAGAGAATAAATTTTTATAATAAATTAAAATAATAAAATTAACCAGTATATCCTTGTGAAAGTGGTACTTGTGTTGAACCTGATTGACCATCTTGTGGTAGAGTAAATGTATCACTCATAAATTGAAAATTATCCGACGGTGGTGGTCGCTCCGATGGCATAGAAAGACTAATATGAGCTGGTTGCTCATCAGTATTCATTGTCAATAGATAATAAAAGATCTAAAATAATATCATAGATTACTTAGAAAATGAAAATTGAAATATGTCAACTATTGATTGTGATATCTGTAGAGTAATAACTGAACGATTTGTTCAATATTCGATTACTATTATCAACAGTATACTAATCAAGTGATGGATTGGAGAGAACTTCAGTGCAGTAGAGAAGCACATATTTTGAAGTTCATTAGACATAGTGCAAATTCAAATCAGAAAAAAACAAAATGGAACTTTCGAATATAAATTGTACAATCAAAATATGATCTTTTCTAGCAGAGATGTCCATTGCGGCTGGAAACCTGCCGCGATGATATTCAAAAAAAGTGTTTCTAATTTCACTGCTGCAACTATATTTGACTAGAAATATTGGTACTAGTCTAGTCTATAAATATATTATCATAACTAAATTAAATAGAAATATTTTCACAATTAGTTTCATTACTATCTATAAATATCTATTATCTATGGGGATGGAAAATGAACTAACTAATAATTGTTTTTGTCATTTAATAATCAATCGAGATTGATATCGATTTTTATGAGCATTAAAAAAGAATTTTCTCAATTGACGATGTGTTTCTGTAGTTATAAATTCAATAAATTCTAAATGATATTCTATATGTAAACAAAGAATAAAATATTTTAATAATGGTAAACGTTTAGTAATTATTGATGAAAGCCAATTATAATCAGGTATAAGATCTAGAATTTTTGAAATTGATATCGATCGATAAATACTTAATTGTTCAAGATTAGGTACACATTCAAGAAAAATATCAATTAATTGATCATTATATTGCCAATCATATATTTCACTATAAATTTCAAGTTTTTTAAGATTTGAATGTATTTGAATATATGAAAGTTTTAAATAAGATTGAAACATTTTTAATTGTAAATAATATAAATTTGGACATGCATATAAAATAGCTTTATAAACATAAAAATCAATTAAACCAATTTTTAAAATACGTAATGATAATGTTTGTGTTGTCCAGTTTAAAATTGTTTCAATTGTTTCAAATCCAAATAAATTACAAAATTTTAAATTAGGAAATTTATTAGAAAAAATTTTTTGATAAATAAATGACATACCAAATAAAATATCTGGAATTGAAAGATATTCTAAATAAGGTAAATTATCAATATCGAGTTGTTCTAATAATTTATTTGTTGGATAATGTAGAATAAGACGATGAAGATTTTTAAAATGATGAAGATTAATATTAACATCACCGATTGTTATTAGACTATGGATATAAGGAGAAAAAAGATCAATATTAATATATTGATTATCTTCGGAAATAGTTAAATGAAGATTATTGAGAGATTCTATTAGAGTATTAAAACGAAAATTGAGATTATAAAATGATTGAAAAATATCTGAAGTATTTAAATATTTGAATATATTGATGAATATTTCATTTGGTAGTAATTCAAATGTTAAGAAAATTTCATTCATGAGTAACAGTGATCTATAAGCAAAAAAATCATTTTATCCTTAGTAAATAATTTCTTTCATCATTAATTTTTTTATAGTAAATGTTGAGAGATTTTAAACGAAATTAATATCAATTAGAAAATGAAGTAAGATCTATGGTTTTTAAATATTAATTACTAATTAAAGAAGTCCCTAAAATTTCAAAAAAAAAAAATTAATCATATCCATAGACTAAAAAAAATTACTGAATAAATCATTTTAATCGAGTAAACATATCTAAAAAAATTCAAAAAGAATTAATTATAAGTTCAGATTAATATCGATTTTTATGAATATTCATAAAATTCTAACCAATTAAAAATAAATTCTACTATTCCCGAAAAATTATCAAGCCAATTGTTCCAAATTAAGTACACACATGTAAGAATTGTGCTAATCATATTATCATTCCAAGGTCAGATATAATATCCAATGACAAATACCATATGTTTTCTATTAGTATGTAATAAAGTATTCATTGAGCTTTTATACTAATATTAAAATAGCAAATTTAAATAGAAATAAATTTAATTTCTTAAATATGTAATGATAGTAATTGTGTTTATCTTTTGATATTTGTTAATAATTTGTTTATCAACATATAACAAGATTTTAAATTAAGATAATCATTTGAAAATATTTTTTAAAGAAGATATGTTCTAAATGACAAAAATCATTTCATCGATTATTTTGTCTAGTTCTTTATCAAATGGATATTCAAAATAAAGATGACGAATATTTGAAACATGGCGGAAACCTATAAAAAGAAAAACTTCATACATAGAGTAATGAAAGAATCATTAAAATGTAATAAGACTGTATTATCCAAAAGATAATTATGAAAAATGATATGATCAATGTTAATTTGAATTATTCGACATACTCTAATGACTGTTTCATAAAGATGTGTATTTGACGTATGTGTACAAGTCCCCTATTGCTTAAAATTATATTCAATCTTGATTATAGAGTGCATAGAAAGAGATGGCGCTCGATATCAATGAAAGTTGATTGTATTAAATCAAAGATTAATATTAGAAATATATTAAATTATGAAATAATATATTTTTCACCAATGTGCTAAAATTCGATATTAAGATTTATCGTTATATTTTACAAATAAGCTTATATGATAGCAGATTTCTCAAATTTTTTATATAGAACTATTTATCAAAATGTTATATTTAATGTTTTTTTTTCCTATTTAAGTAAAATATATCCAATGTATGTTCATATTGAAACATGAAGTCTAGTGTATTATCAATTTGGAATAAATTAAATACTTTTATCTAATTATCCTTCATTTAATAAAAAATAAGCATACAAATGCTAAAATACTAATGTTTTTTTTTTACAAAGCAATCTTCAAGAATAGGAATATTTTTTTTGTGTCAAAGATAAGAAATAAGTATCGCGTATCTGCACAGTTGATGCTCATCGCAGCTGAAAATCTGCTGTTACTTAATTAATGAAATTCATTGAGTTTCAGAGTTTTACATGTGTGAACACTATAAAATTTCATGCACAATTATACAGTCTTGGAATATCCTTCAAAAAGAAAAGCTACAGCAATAGACATCTCTGATTAACATGCCAAGAGTCAAATAGTTTGTTGTCGACTGATTATTTTTTTTTCAAATACATCTGTTTAAATAAAAGAGATAATCAATTGATTATCAATATCATAAAGGATGAATGTTGTATTTTTATCTCATAGACGGTATGAATTATTCATTCTATTTCAAATGTAATAGCAATTCAGTATTTATAGAAATAACTTTTCTTTCCCGTTTTTTTATTGTTGATATAATGAATTAGAAGAAGAATAGTTAATTCATCAATAGAAAAAGACCTTATCTATTTGTCACTCATGTTTCTGCATATTCTTCTTGAAGGTATCTAACACGTGGAAAATTATTTTGAGATCATGATCGAAATTAAGAGACATTTCACGGTTTCTAATAATGAGTAAAAAACTGTTAAATAGTCATATTCATCTTGTAGAAGTCGATAGGACCATTAATATGACTTTCTTCATTGGTGATTTCTATTGTCAAATTGAAGTTCTACATAAAAAATCAGCTCGGTAATTTTCATAAGAAGTCCTTAGTTATTTTAGGCGACAGAGGTTTATTGATCGTGGACTCTCAAAAACTTTGCAAAACAAAGAGTGGAGTCATATCCTTTAAAAATGTCTCGTCCACCCGTAAGAACAAAGAAATTTCATTTGATTCTGCCATAAACATCTTGAGAAAAATCGCTACTATTAGCATTCTCTTCAAATTATTTCAAGATGGAAGAAAAAGGATATGGATATCGTGTGGGTGTTGGTCTTGGATTGGATGTAGGTGTTGTTTTGGGCCGCAATGAGTGTGGGATACTTCAGACATACTCAGTGGTACACACTCATACCTACACCCCCGCCTCCACTCCACATTCACATTCTAGTTTGAATTTCTTGTAAAGTATTCATATTTTTGGATAAATTAGATCATTCAAATTTTCCAGATTTTTCTGCCGGAAAAAAGATGTTTTGAATAGTTGATACATTCATTTAAATGTTGTCTCATTTAGTCAGAAACGAGATGATACTCATTTTTTAGGGCTTTTGGTACCTTGTTTGACAAAAATAATACCAATATTAACTCTTACAGACGGATACAGCGAGTGAAAAATTCTAGATTCATACAACAATCTGTGGCATACCGTTATAAGAATACAGTTAGTTTTGTGTATCACCTTGAGATAGATCGATATTATTGGGAACATCAAAATATACTACTTCCCCCTGATGCAACATAAGAATACGATCACTGTTGGCTATTGTATTCAATCGATGTGCAATCGTCAATATGGTACGATCACGAAATTTGTCAGCAATAACCTCTTGAATCATTCTATCAGTCGCACAGTCAACATTTGCTGTAGCCTCCTCAATAAGCAATATGTGGCTCTTCTTCAAAATGGCTCGAGCTACACAAACCAGTTGCCGTTCATCAGTACTCAAGTTAGTACCTGATTCCGTTACCAACAGATGGAGTCCATCGGGATGGTTACGTACTAATTGTTTGAGTTGAACAGCTTCAAGTGCTTTAAGACATTCTTCATCTGAGAATTGTTCGAATGGATCAATATTGTATCGAAGTGTACCACAGAATAATATTGGTACTTGTGGAATAACACTTAGATGAGAACGAAGATGATCGAGTGAAAGATGTCCAATATCGATGCCATCGATGAGAATTGTACCGTTGATTGCTGACTGATCAACCAATCGAAAGAGAGTTTGAAGAAGTGATGACTTTCCGACACCTAGACGAAAAAACAGATAATGATAAACGAATTTTTCCAAGAGATTAATCACACATTCAAATACTCCAGGTCTTTTAGAAGTACACTATACATTGTAGATAGGGATAGTAAAATATTCTTCATAAAATGTTGAAATTTTCTTTCGCACCAGTTACTGAAAAGATCTCATTGATAAGAACAGAGGATGATAAGTAATGAAATACTCCGCTCAAAAAATAAAGTTCTTCATCAACGAATCGCTTCAATTAAACATTCAAAATCAGTTACTAGTAGAATTAGTCCTATGTAGTATGTAGCTGCTATTGAAATGTCTCTTATTATGCGAAAATGTTTCTTTACGAGTTATGCATGCTAAGAATTGAGTAGTAAGTACTAACTCCTATACTCTTCAAAGTAAAGGGAGTACATGACTCGTCCATTATGTGAAATGATCGTAATTAGAAACGAAAGGTCCCGTCGGATGAATCTTATTAAACTTTTTATAATTGTCTCAATTGAATGCATAGAATAATCGGTCATTTAAAAAAAAAATAAACAATGCACTACTTAGAAATGTCTCCCTGTAAGAAACCAATTTTTTTGAACGCTACACAAATCCTATAAGAAGAATTCACTGCTTCCTTGAATCCTCACTAAGACTATGTTGTAGCGCGTGCTATTGCACCTACTTCGTAGGATCTGTCTATCTTCGTTCGATTTCACTCAACTTTGTATCAAAGAGCAATTTCACAACTTTTAGGTATACATTTCGAAATATCAAGAGTGGTTGAAAAAGTGCCAGAAAATCAGAATGGATTGTACCTAATGAGCTTGATACGGCATAAATATTTTGAAAATCGCTCGCTACGATCGGATTCAATCAGATTTCTTTCATAGGTCTAGTCATGTGTCAGGAATAGAAAATGATATCACAAGAAGTCTGATTTATATAGAGAAATGTAAACATAACAGAATTACTTCTAACCATGGGTTTTCGCTAATAAAAGAACTCATCACTTATATTTCCAAAAGTGAAGTAATTATACCTGTCCAATCAATAACTCCAACCTTTTCTTTGGATTCAATTCGTAGATTAAGATTTTTGAGCACAGGATCGAGCTCTGGTCGATAGCGAAAAGTGTAATCTTTAAATTCGATAATACCATGAGATGGCCAATCATCTGCTGGTTGAATTAGTACACTGCTTTTATTACTGTTCTGATGACTTTCTGGTACTAGTTGACCATATTCATGAATACGTTCTGCACTAGTCATGAAATTTTCAGCTTCGGTTGATTGTCGCATAGCCCATTGAAACAGACCTGTTAAAGTAATACAATAACTGATACTGACTGCTGCTGCCGATGGATTAATTCGATCGCTCAAAGCTACTGCAAGCATAGCAGTAATTAATGTGAGTAAGGATGTTATAAAATCGAGCCGTAAACTGAACCAACGTGTAGTGGCAAAGAGAATAAAGTAAGCTCGTGCATTGGTATCGATTCTTTCCATAAACATATTCAAAAAATCGCCTTGAACATCAAACGCACGAATACTAGTAAGTCCGTCTAATGACGACGAGAACAATGCATGAATTGGACTACGCGCCATACTTTCGAGTCGTTTGAGTTGCCGACTCGAACGCATGTAAAATCTACGAAGGCACAAAATTCTGGGAACCAAAGGAATGAGAATTAGAAGTACCCATGGATTGGTCATTCCAATGATTATGATAGAACCAAGAGTCATTAGTAAATATTGCATAGTATCAATTAAAGCCAGAGGTAACGATTCATCTAACACTTGTTGATCTTTGCTTGCTCGATTTAATATTCGTCCACTTGGATTACTTTCAAAGAAACGTAACGAAGTATATAAGATACCTTTGAGCATTCGATTATGAAAATAGGTTGAACCACACGAGATGATATAGAAGATATAACCAGTACGTATCAATGCAATGATCAATGTAGCAACTATAGCTCCAAGATAGATGTAAGCATAAAATGATGATCGTTGTTCGCTATCATCTTTACCAGACCACAGAGAAAGCCAACTATTTGTAAAGTCGTACAGAACTTCACTACCAACCATAAAAATTATCATAAGAAAAAAGCCAAACCTACGTAAAGGTGATGCAGTGAATAGTTGTAGACAAACGCTCCACTTGATGGCATCATCAATTGTTGTCTCACTTTTGACAATCGAATTTATATCAGTTCTAGCAATGTCAAGTGTCCAATCTGTCTCATTGTCGTTCGATAAGTCTGTTTCTGATGTATCATTTAGTGAGTCTGTTTCTGATATATCATTTAGTGAGTCTGTTTCTAATGTATTATTCGATGACTCATTTTTAACAGGTTGTTCAATATGTAATTCATCGATGTGACCATTCCTCACGAGAATTATTTGATCTGCTTCAATTAAAAAATGTGTCTGATGTGTGACCAATATTCGAGTCTTTCCACGAAGGAAACTACGAGGACCGATGCATTGATCAAAAATATTCTTGGCCACCTTTGAATCAACGGCAGCAAGTGGGTCGTCAAGTAAATATAAGTCAGCATCAGCGTAAAGAGCACGAGCGAGCGATATTCGAGCTTTTTGTTCTTCACTCAAATTGACACCTTTATCACCAATCATCAATAAATCGCCGACTTCACTGAAATATTGTAGATCGATATCAAGACAACATGCCTTGATTACATTCTTGTAACGTTCTTCATTCATTGGTTTGCCAAGAAGAATATTAGCGCGAATAGTATCAGCAAATATCCATGCCGATTGTGGAGCGTATGAAATAGAGTCAACATTTAGTCGCAGTTTTCCACTAATAATATTGATCTCACCGAGGATAGCAGCTAGTAGGGTTGACTTGCCAGCACCAGTGGCTCCCTTCACTCCAACTAAGTTACCTCTTGTGATTTTGAGATTAAGAGAAAACAAAGAAGGAATATCTTTCCAAGAAAATGATGCATCTTCCATTATGATTGCATGATCATCCTTTTCGTTTTCCATTTTTTCACCTTTATTCAATAACATATCGAGTTGCATAAATTGATCAATTGTTCTTGCAGAAACACAAGCTTCGCTAAACTTTTCGATCGCGCACGGCATCGTAATTGTTACAGGACCTCGAATCATGGCGAAGAAGGCTAGTGTTGCGAAAATATTTTCTGGAAGCAAAGTTCGGCCCATTAGCCAACTACTACCGAATGTAGCAAGAGAAATCAAAGGTAATGCTGCGAAGAAGAGAGTAGTATTAAGAGTTCTCAAACAACTAGATTTGAAAATGTGCGAAAGTTCACATTGGCGTGTTTCATGTACTCGTTGCTCGATTGCTTTTTCCCAATTGTACATTTTAATAATTTGACATCCGTTGACAAGTTCATTGATGGTTTGAACACGCTTGTCTGTATATTTCATTGTGGCCTTTCGGAATTGACTGAATTGTCTACTAAAAATGAGCTGTATAGGTATTAGTAAAATCAGTACTGCATAGCCGAATAACGTTGGTAAACCGATATTCCACCAAATAAGACCAAACGTTACAAGAGCTTCCAAAGGTACCCACACTGAAACATACACGAAAGAGCTTAGTTCTTCAAATTTACCGGCATCATTTCCTACTAAATTAATTGTCTGAGCAGCAGTAGTCTTCTGAAGAGCTGTGGTATTAATGGTCAACAAGTGCTTATACATTGTAGATGATAATACATTGCGAATGCGCATGCCTATGCGTGTGTTTCGAAAGAAGATTTGTTGGTGAAGAATGGTTTGTACAATTGAAGAAATACAAAGAGCAATAGCAAGTAGATAACCAGCGTAAGTAGGTAATCCTGATTGACCTTTAATGTGGAGCACAATAAGACGAATAAGCAATGGTTGTGCAACACGAGCAATAATCAATGGAAAAACGAGCAATATGCTTATTAGAAAATCTTTAAAAAAGATTTGCGTGAATATATGCCATGTGCCTTGCCATTTAGAACTATACTGATTCACTCTATTCAATAAAAATGAGCATTTGTCGTTGACAGAAAGATCGCTAAGATCATCTTCAATAAGCGTGCATTTATTACCCAAAGAGAGAATAGGTGTTATCCACAATAGTAATGGTATCTGTATCCATCTTGTCCATGACGATTCAGCCCAATCCAATCGACATGATTGTCGCTGTTCACCTAGGTATAGATTTTTATCAGAATTAAATTGTATTCTATTCTTTTGTTGAACTAACTGTGTAGAAGTTTAAAACCTACTTTGCCTTAAAATAACTCCTTTGTTTTTCTTCTGCACTTTCAGCAAAAGTTCTGCTTTCAAGTAAAGTATGCTTAAGTTTCTATTTTATTGGCTGTTTTATGAGTGATATAGAATGATGAACTTTAATTGTCAGTATCAGTCTGTTCTGAATTAGCTGAAATGTGCACTAACCGGGTGAACTCTATTTGTCTTTAATCAAGTGTGGAAATAGAAAAAGTTCATTTATACCAATCGCTTCTGCCTGTTTTCCAAATCCAGCTCATACTTCTCTAGATTTCATATATGCCATGAATAAAGATCTCTGAATCCTATGTCGAAAACTGAAGATTTTAAAGTCAATATCAATGTTGATGATACGAGCTTCTCAAATGTCAAGATGATGATGAATCAAAGAATATTTATAAGGAACGAAATATCAAAAAATAAAAAACGAAGTCATGAAATTGCAGTGAAAAAATTTAAGTCGTCAATGAAATACTTGATAATAAAGAGTTCAAATACCTCTGTTATGTTGTTTATTAAAAGAGCTATTTTCCTGGAATGATAAACTGTTATAAGTTAATATGTGGAAAAAAATAGTTAATGACATTATCCAAAAGCACCATTCTTTGTCTCCATACAAAATGGTTATCTTATTGTCAATGAAAAAAACTATCAGGTATTAAAATCAATTTGGAGTAATTCTGGTTCATGTATTGGAACCGAATATATTGGATTTACTGTCGGTACATTCTTATAATGACACTCACTTTCAGTCGACGAAGATACTTCTGATGAATCTAGGGAATTTCCATTGTGCAAGTTTGATTGTGTTGCTGGAGACGTTTGTGATGCAGAAAAACTATGAATACACCATTTGGCTGCTGCATCGATATTTGTTACTTTTCTCCAGACCATTGCTCGTTTATTGCTAGTTGTTGATACTGATATGAGTGAAGAAATCAATTTATGATGTCTACTTTTATTGTACAAAATTTTATTACTGGCAATGTCTATTCTCATTGTCGTTCCTTATCTCATTGTAAAACGACTCCGGCGGATCAAGTAGCTCTACTTGTTTTGACAAATAAAGCAGACACTTTTGTAGAGAAAAGGCAAGATGCATGCAATAGTTTATAAAAGATTTATCTTTCATCAAGCTAAGATAAATGACTTGAGTGATATATCAGTGAAAAGTGCGCCATCTTTTTTGAGTGCGATGTTTCCTTCCTCACATTTCAAGGGAACGTATTCCAATTTATCGTTTTCTTTGGTTAGGTGGGAAGATTATTTTGAGTTCGAATCCATATACGTTGCATTTCTCTTCATTGACTGTCTTCATGTTGAAGAATATTCACTTTTTGTTCACAAATAGCAGCAGTTGACGTTCTGTTTTTAATGCTATATTGCTGTGAGTAGGCATAGAATGGTGCCAAATTTTCTGGAATTCGGAGTTTGGGGTTCGATTCGAATTCGAGCTCACCTCATGACGAATTGTGCGTGCTAGCAAAAAATATTGTGGAAGTTAAAACTATTTTTTAAAAAGTTAATAGTTGAGAAAACCGGCAAAAAGTTAAAATGGTTATAACTGCCGTTATAACTATCAACCGTAGTTATAAATATCAAAAATTTTCGAATATTAAGTTCCTGAACTTTGTAAGTGAATGCAAAAAATCGAAAAGTATTAGCTTCATATGAAGGTATATGTGAGAGAGGAGAATAGGTGGATCGGAGAGTTTTTTTTCTAACCATGTACAAGATCGTTCAGTAATTCTTGGCTATGTTTTCTCTTCCGTTCTTATGTGAATTGAATTAGACTGAAACTATTTCTTGAAACTTAAGTAGTTGTAAAAACTAATTTATAGTAAAAATAAATGAAGTTATAGATACTGATCATACAGATTAATATTTATGACAACAATAAACAAATAATGAAAGAAACTATATACTTTTTCAAAATCACCAAATAATAGTCTATACTATTCCAGATCAATACCAATTTAAAATAGGTGTAAACAATGATGTATCACCCTTTTATTCCTAGAACAACATTAATAACATTTTTTTTCTTTTTATTTTTTGCTCTGATTCTGAATGCGCACTTATCTATGCTTGTCTTCTGTCAGATGTACATGCGAAATTTATCGACTATTTTCGATTTTTATTTAGTTCATGCATATTATTTACATTCCCTAGCTATATTGTAACACCACATAAATGTCCCTGAAAAAATGTCCTCGAAATTCACGGACATTTGTGAGAGAACATTTTTTAGGGACATATATGATTGAATTCATAAGAAGTGTATTGATTTCTTCGATCATTCTGTCGATCACATCATTCTAGTTTATTTACAATATAACTGAATAAAACGAAAGAAAAATAGAAAGAGAAAGTTAACTAAATGATGTAGAAAACACGATCATTGTTTTCCCTCGTCGCAGACGATCGAATAATGAGAAAAATAAGAAGTGACACGATTTAGTTTATTTCATTTGTTGTGTACTATATCGTCTGGATAGTCTTCGTATTTAGTTGTTGGTGTTATTATTTAATTTTACTTAATATAATGTCTGATCGTATATCAAGTTCATTATCACCTACTGATCCACAAACTTCATCAAGTGGAACTTGAGAGTATGGGCGTAGGTGTGGGTGTGGGTATGGGCGTCGGTGTTAGTGTGGGTGTGATGAGTCCCGCTGCAATACTGGCACTCACACCCACACCCACACTCACATCCCACACCCACACTCTACACTCACACCCACACCCACCCACACCCGCCACCCCACACCCACCCACACCCACACCCACCCACACCCGCCACCCCACACCCACCCACACCCGCCACCCCACACCCACCCACACCCGCCACCCCACACCCACCCACACACCCACATCCACACACCCCACACCCAGCCACCCACACCACACCCACACCCAGCCACCCACACCACACCCAGCCACCCACACCACACCCAGCCACCCATACCACACCCACACCCAGCCTTGTACTACGTAGCAATAGAATCAAGCCTTTGGAAGTACTCATATTTTGAATATTCTTCTCTGTTTAATGATTCATTTGATACAAGATTTTTCTTTCAGAAATAACGCTAAGACCTATAGAGAACACTCCCTTTTGTACCGAAAGATATAAATCTAATTGAGTGATTTCTTAATATTTCAATTTAAGTCATACACTAATGTATGAGAACAATAACGATAATTATTGCCTTTTCACTTGAGATCTTGAACAACTTATTTCTTATTAATTCTCGGATTAGGATTATTATTAACGAATTTGCCAAGAAACAATTGAAAATTTCACTACACTCTTATTGTTTTCATCCAATATACTGAACCATATTGCTAATATATTAGAAAGAAAAAAAAAACATTTCACACTCCAAAATCGACTCTCTATATTACACTCAATAGATCTGATGATCTAACAAATAATTTCCTATAATGCTTTGAGTATTACATTTTTGTTCAAAAATGTGTTTATTATTTTTAATG